CTACTATCCATTATTTTTCCTAAGTCAAACTCTGCAATCTATCACCTTGTTCAGTGCTGTATTTTGAAACAAATGCTTCAGAGATTTTATTTATACAGGCAGTATTTCCTTCTGATATTTCATTCTAGACATAAGAAAAACTTGAATATCACGTACTGTTTTATTTAAATCCGTCAAGAAGATACGCAACAAAAGTATTCGTTCCCTCTTTTAAATAATCATAAGTAAGAATAAATAACTTTGATGGGAGGCAAATGACTTTAGTTCTAAAATTTTTTTTAGAAACTTTAGAAATTAGTATCACAATTATTACTCTGGAATTCGCATATTAGCATCTGAGAACATTGAATTGAAAATGATAAGCCTTGCAGTTCCTATGAACAATGAAAGTTTTCAAGGGTTGGTTAAGTATAAAGATATCTCTTTTTTTATCTGTTAGTAATTTAAAAAAGAAATGAATCTGATGTCTTCCATTTTAACTGCAAGCAAATGACAACTATTCTTCGTGCGGATATTATACTATGATTAAGGTTGGTTGAATAAGGATAACAAAAGTGATGACAACATTTGTCGATAACATGACAATTAACAAAAGTGAAAGTTTGTGAACAATTTCTATTTCATAAAAAAAGCAATCTAAATAATTTATGACAAACTGATCATAGATTAATGAAGTGACTGATCCTATGAATAGGATCAATATATGAACAATGAGTGAGGAAGCGGTAAAAGCTGAAAAAAGCGATAATTGCGTTAGAAATGGATAAATCATATCATCTAGTTTCACGGCAAAGAAATAAAACCTGCTCTGAGATTCGAAATTTCAATGCATAAATTTAACTCCTTCAATTTGAATCAAAAAATCGAACTATCTATAAATGAAAGTAAAAAGTGGACGGAAAACCTTCAGTTATTATTATTGGGATAATTATTTGATTATGATTTCAACGATAATGGCTCTATGATAAATGATTATATTGACGGTACTAGTATGAAAAGAAATGGTGAGAAAGAGACAATTACTAATTTCTAAATTCTTACTTTTCAAGTTTACAATCCGAAATTCGAATTGAATCAGAAAGAATTGATAAACTATGAGAATATGATCTATTTTTAATTTCTTCATTTTACTTTCATTTTCTTATTTACGTTTTGCTGCCTGTTTCAGCAAAGATCAGGTGAAATTTAAATTCCTGAATGTTTGTTGTGAACTGAAACACTGAAATTTACGCTGTCATTAAAAGATCAGGTGTAAATATAGAATAATTTGTATAATCAATAATAGTTCCATTTTCAGAGCATGAGGAAACCTGGGATGAGTATTTAGAAGTAAGTTGGGAAGTAATGAAGCTGATTTAAATGGAAAATCATATGCGCAATAGAAACAAGTTGATATCATACATGGATCAGCGTACAAAAACAGAATAATTGCACTCATTGGACAGCAAAAATAATAGCCATACATCCTAACAGATAAGATATCCATTAGCCGAAAAATAAAAGAGGGAAAAGCTGCTGAAAGAAATTTTTGTAGTTATGCAAATTTCGTTTTCCCCGGTTGAGAGGACACCGAATTCGTAGTTGTCATCAAATTATGAGAGGAAAACTGATGGAAGGGTGGAGGGTTATAAAGTACGATATGGAAGTGGCGTAGAAGTATTATAAGCGATGGAAGTAAGCAATACAAAGAATTGGAAGACAAAGTCGTACGTACATATGTGTCTCAAGTCAGTGCTAGTGACAAAATAACGCGTCAACATGTGGATAGGACGACGGTACGTAAGAATACAAATGTTGAACTGAGACTGCTACTTGACTTTGCTTCCTATCCTTGTCATTGCTTTTTTGCTTCAGTTATAGTCACTCGCAGGTTTTAAGACCAAAGTCTTAAATGATGCTGGCGAATTTTCAAAACAACTAGAGGTGACATGAAGTATTGGTGAGAGAAATCCCTCATTTCTTCCATTACTTTGTTTTTAACATATTATTATCTATCTATTTCCACTTTCTTTCTGAGTATCATCTAACAGCAAAATACTTCACTGACTATACTTTCATATAAAAACGACATTTGGTGGACTGTGTCATGCAAAAAAATTTACACATAATAGAATTTTTGAGATTCATTAATAGAATGATGAATAAACGAGTTTGTAAATTTTCGCTTTTTCTATTCTAACGCATTTCATTTTTCATTTTTCTTTCTCAGAAATTCTTTATTACAAACTAATTTTTAGCTCTTAAAATTTTGATGTTCATCATTATCATTATCACAATTCTATGATTATTAATTGAATGTTGTTAAATATCCGTTGCAGTAGTATACTTTATTAACTATTATTATTGCTCAAAGATATCGGTATTAAAGTGCTTTTTTTACACGCTTGCAAATCCGCATTTTAGCTTTTATATGCTGATGATGCAGTCACAAAGTAATGTTAGATTTTTTAAAAAAAAATTTCATAGTGGAAATTTATAAAAGAATGCCAAAACGAAAAATTGTCTAAAAATACTAATACTAGTAATAATCATACACAACTAATTAATTTCCTTGTGATTGTAGAGTAAACAATTTTTATTTCTGTGCGAACACTAACGCCATTTCAAGTAAGCCTTGGCATATGAAGAACGTGGAAGACACTATTCTTAAGCCTGAACAAAAATAATGAAGGCAATATTTAAACAAATATAAACAAAGTAATATATGATACAGAAACTTCTTCTACACATCAATAAAAATCCGAAAAGACTGTTCCAGTTTGAAAACGCTATTCCAGTTAATGCTCACTAAAACTTAAAATACTTTAACAATAAAGAGGTAAGATTTGGAAAAAAAAAAAAAACTAAGAGATTTAAACAGATAATTTTTTCTGTAGTTACATATCCATAACAATTGTAAAGAATATCTGCAAAATTCAATTTGCAATTAATCTCAAATAAAACACATAGGCATATTCAAGTTAGCTGTTAATTTAACATTTATTAAAAATGTTAGGAAATGTGACATTGACAATTACTGTTGCTTAGTAACTGACCAAAGGTTCAAAAGATGTTTTCAACTTGTAGCAGTATTATTTCAGCTAATCAGTTCTGTGTTTGAAAAAAAGAATAAAGTGTACCGTGAATGGTCAGTGCAGAAGTAAAGCGCACTACAGCATCGCCTTATGGTATATTCGTTTGAAAAACTGGCAAGATCATTCACATCATTTCAAATCAATCGTTTCATTGATTTTGCTCATTTGCCGACATTTGACAAACGAGCAAGTGCAGCACCAATTCTAATATTCTAATAGCGATAATTGTAGAATTTTGTTTTAGTGAATAGCTTATGTTAACAATCATTTAATACAACCCGAGAATACGACGAGATTAAAAGTTATGAAGAAAAGAATGAAGAAATGATTGGTTAAAAAAAACTGAATTCAGGACCTGAATGTAAGTAACAAAAAATCCCTTCGAATTTTAAATTACCCTTTCCCAACATTATAAGTTGCAATAATTCGATGAAGAAGGTATGTGTGTTCTAAAGAAATATGACTATTATGAGCAAATAAAAAAAATTATAAGACCTATTTTCTTGGTCCAAAATTTAAGAAAAATTCGAATTGGAAAAAATTATAAGATATAATTGTAATTTTCCAGGTATAATGACTTTTCAGGTATAACTATTGACCCTATCAGATGGAAATCCATATATCTCTGCAACAAAAACACATCGCCAAATTATATCAGTAATCTATCCAAAGACTTGGTTAGATTATACTAGCAAACTAACCAAAGACTGACATTTCCCACAAAAGTTATGAAAAAGAATTTACATGAATGAGCATTATGGAAAAAGAGTGATAGTGAAGATGAAATAATGGGAGATCAGACGACGGTAAGATAGGGAGAATAAGGTAATATTAATGCCGGAAAGTATTTTTCATGGATAGAGAAGCAATTTCATTTGTAAGAAGAAAAGGATTTTTTTAATATCTGTTTCATCTCCAGCTGGTTTTGATAAGACATGTAAATTCTCATACTTTGCTGTTAAAGGAAATTCTCTGAACATCTTCAGCACAGATTTCTTTACTACTTTAGCTTTAATCTATGCTATCATTTCGTTCAAACACTTTTAAAAAATCAAAAAAATATTACCTTTCATACTTTGTCCAATTGTCGACATTGATCGAATGTCAACCAATCTGAACATTTTAAATTTCACTTATATAAACAGAAAAATGGCAATGAATTACTACAAAAAAGATCACGGAAAGTTACTTCAATTAAGTGAACTAATTAGTGTTTATCAGTGAAATGCTGGCAGAGAATTACTCAAGCATAATCATGGCCTGGGCTGAAGGATAACTACTCGCTCATGGGTTATGTTATAAAGGATTAGAGGCCGGCATACAAAACGCATTGCTTAATAAATAAGGAAAATTGAGCCATATCAAAGAATGATGGAAAAACGATTGTTAATAATGGGAGGGTAACTAACATTAACTGGCATCAATACAACTGCCAATTGTAAACTTCTTGGCAAAACTCTGGCATTTTGTTCCAATCCATAATCGATACAGGAAGACATATTAATTGGATGTTTCACGTTAACATCACAGAACTAGATTCAACTCTTATTAAACAATCCCATCTACTATATTTCTCATCATCCTAACTCTCAAAGTAAATCACTACCAAAAAAACGTCCAGTTTTGAAGTGCTTCTTGATTCCAATCATTACATACATAATCTGTTGATCAATTTTATTCTGTTAGCACACTCAGATCTGTACTAGTTTTCTATCTTTTTTAAAGCCGATTATTTTCTGGAAGTTAAAGAACAGTGTGTAACAGGTTACACCAAGCACGACAATTCGTTTTTATGCCGTATAACAAAGAACGAATGACGGAACGATAATAAGGAGTTTTAAAGATAAGTTAAGAAATCTCCTCATTAATTAGTCACTTCGTTGTGTTTGACTGGAAACATGACAGATTTCCAATGACCAGTTTGATTTAACCTCTTCTCCAACATTCAAAAAATGTTTCTTGACGGATATAGCATATATGCGGCAGCTTTATATCGGCTATGATCTAAATATTGCAAGTGAAATTTATTTGGATAACTTTTAGCATATGCTTCCGTGTACCTTGTTGAAGCTGTTCACGAAATGATAACAAAGAATGGCGAGTTAATTTTAAATTTCATGTTAATTTAGACTACATTCAAATATGTTCAACATGGAACCCAGGAAAACGATTACTGGACTTCTTATAAGATTGGCTTTTCGATATCAAAAAATTTCCTGCTTTCATTACAAATACTGTACAAATATCCTAATTACACCAAAGTAAAGTGAAATAAGAAATCATAATTCTAGAAAAGAAGACACACTTCTGCAGAGGAGAAAAAGTGTAAGCGAGACACTATCCAAAATATTAAATCTCCACTAATACTTTTTATACATACGTTGTTATAGAGTGTCATAAATATAAAAGTTTAAACCTATACCGACTGACTGATTTTGAGATTTTCGACACAAAATCACTTACTTGGCTAATGCAACAATGATTTATTGCGGAATTATCGATATTGGGTAGTTTCAAAACGTCAATAACGATCAGAAAATCATCGCCTTTTTTTCTATAATCTATAAGAATTGCTATAATGCATTATTTTTTAAATACGTCTTGAGTGATTCGTTTAATGCACTATAAACTTTATTATCAAATCCCAAATGCAGTATTCGTTTAACGCAATATAAAGATGCAATGTTAATATTGGATGACAAGAACAAACAAAATTCCACCGTAAATGGAAAAAGCATGGTCAAAAATTCTGATAATTTCAGAAGCACGCTTTTTTTCTTGGAATTAAGTTTGAACCAATAGTTTTTAAAAATCATACAATGCATTCATATTTTTTGTATTAACAACCACTGGATTGAACTTACTAAGAATCAAAATAAATAAAGAAAAGTTGCTCAGTGGAATGCTTACTAGTGGTAAGCAAACATTTAACAACAACCAATCTGACATGAGTGCAAATAATAGGACACAGAACAAAATCTGAACAGTCTATATCGATTCTTAGCAACCTGCAAATTTTTTTGAATGATTTGTTTAATGCATTACAAACTTTATTATCCACTGTAAGTAACATAGTAACATCCCACTATAAAAAACGCACCGGAACACTAGTATTAATAAATAATATCACAAAGAAATGGTTTATGATTCACATTTCAGTAATGTTATCCAACAACTCATAAGAAGCTACTCATCCTATCACTAATGCAAGTCATACGTTGATTGGTATGAAAGGAATAAAATAAGAAATATGAAACACATTCCAAATAAACTTTATTATACTTTATATGTTGAGCAATATATGTAATACTAAACATTCCACCTTCCTTAGCTTGCACTATTTTACTCACCTGTTCTTCCGTTTCAAATGCCAAACTCGAAGTGAACGTTTCTGTAATGAATGCTCAGTTTTTGATGGAAATGAAAATATGATATGCATAGGAATGTGCTCTTACACTAAGATTCTTTTCGCTATCAATGATAAATTAAACTCTTGCAATTTTATATTGTAAATAAATAACCATCACTATCAATTTCTGATAATTAATTTCACGATAAAACTATAAACCATGAGTTCAAAGTTCATTTCATATCTGAGTCGTTATAATCGCCGAAAAAATATTCGATGAGAAGTTTTGCAAACCACAGACTCAAGTAACATGAAATAGCTAGCAGAGATCAATGGGCATATCAAAAGCAATGCTTTCCAACAACCGAATAACGCTCCTGCTAAACGCTCTGAAAATATTTACCGTTTGATATGAAATGTAATATCTATTTCATAGAAAAAATTTTGAGAATTAAAGCATAAATCGAAAGGATCAACTCGTATAGAGTATATCATATAATGTGGTGAATTTTGACCTTAGCAAAAAGTGGCAGGATTCTGCAAGAGTGTGGTGATGCCGATGGTTTAAACAATATCAACCATTAGTTTGAGTGGTTCGTAATATGATTAAATTTTTAAGATTAAATTTTTGGATCTTTTGAAAAGTTCATAGGGCAAAATCCAGGAATAGCAAACGATTGTTTGTACAAGGCAAGGTAGACAAGGCTGAACAATATTAGATGAAATGTTTCCCCCGGAGAATATCGATCGATCCTTGAATTCATATATCATTCATTTCCATGTTATTTTTGCTTCCTTTTAAAGTGGACAGATTATACCAGAAAAGCTATCTGAATTTTCGAAAAAAGAATCCAAAGAAAAATTTTAGATACATTTGGTACAGCGGTAACTCAAACCTAAATGAAACCCAGCAAAACATCGACTTTCCCTTATAATGAATTAGCTTTTGAATAAAAACTAAGCATACTGAAATAGTTGATAAGAACGTTGAAATCGACAATGGTTCATGAAAAATATCTACCAGGCTTATTGTGAGCTGTGTAAGGCAACAGTTGAGTCATAGGCCATAAACGTTGAAGCATCACAATAAGTCAGAAACGTTTGACGTGACGCAACAGTCACTCTCATCTAGATTTGCTTATTCCTCTACTCATTATGTAAGACATATGAGGAATTCATATGCAAATATGGAGAGGGAAAGAGAGAGAAAAAAAGAGAAGAAAAACGGAAGACAAAGGACTAATCGGAAATTCGATGAAAGTAACTGCTGATCACATCACCTAACATTCACAGTTCAAAAGTTATTTTACACATTCATTAGCAGATAACACTGCATTCCACTGCCTTATCACATCTACTGCACACCATTGTTAGATCACTATGATCATTCCACTCTTTGTTATAAATATTGATGATATCATGGCGTATCTACTCCTTCAATCTGATCTTGATCTTACTTAAATTAAATTTCTCTGATAAACAAACCAGCCATCTTTGATGCTTAAATGACATCCTTCTAATTCACTTAAGTATTTCCTGTACCTTTATAGTATGGAAGAGCAAGTGATTAATAATCAGTGATACCATAACATTAAATAGTTACAACTTATTTCATTCTTTCCTCTTCGTCAAACGCTTACAGTATGAAAGGCACTATTGACTAACACAGATCTGTACTGAACGAAACGTGTGGAAACACTTTTCCTCCCCGTAAATAATCTAGAAACTTGTTTTTCATAATAGACTTGTTTTTTCTTTCATAATTTTTCATAATGTTTGTTTTATAACTTGTTTCTCTCCTCTCTCTCTCCCTTCCCTCTTCGCTTTCCCTTCTCTTCTTCCTCTCCTCCCTCTCCCTTCTCTCTCTCTCCCTCGTAAATACTATAATTGACCTACCATTAACAAAACACAGTTCACTAATTTTTGACATTATAGTGATTTTTGCGACTTCTTTGGAACTCTTTTGATACGAATTCACACTTCAATTATCATTGAAATTCAATTTCTATGAAATAAGTCGAAGGTTTCAAATCGTTTAAATTTTAGAATAGTTTTGCTGTTGTAATTGCTCAGATTTTTTTAATCGATGCATCATAGCAAGTGTTTCATGTGACAAATGTGAAAAATACTGAAAAGTTAGAATTGACACTGGGAACTTCAATGAACATAACATTGTAATTTAATTATCAAAATGAATAATTCAACATTTTGTGCTGAATTATTTGCTATTAACAGTAGCATTTAAAAAAATCACAATTGCCAGAATCTACTGTCTGCCGGATACGGAAAAACACTTGCTTTTCAAGAAAAAGAAAAATAAGCATTCGAATATTTTTTTTTATCTATACAACAACTTTTGATCTTCACAAGAATTTTAAAAGTATCGTTAACAAAACGACTAATTAATTTATAATTTGCAACAAATTTTAGTGCTAACAAATAAAATCTTACATCAACGAAATATTTAAAATTCTGGCAGACTTAATGTGCTTTCGAAGGAATTATTAGATTAAAAAGCTGTTGGATAGTTGTTAAAGTGTTTTAGCACTTTGAAGGACATCAATGAGAACATTTTAAATTCAAAATTAATTTTCAAATGCATACAAATAAAAATTATAGCTTATTTGGTCGAAAATGAACAGAACGTATTGACTATTTACTTCTAGCAAAAATATGTTGAAGAAAACTTAGAATTGATGCAAAAAGTTTTATTAAAATTAAATTACTTTCATTGATTAATGATTAAAATTTAATTGTACTAATAGTTTTACATTATGATGCAGCGAATTCAAGTTATCCCACTAACAACTGTTTATTTCGCTAGCCTTTGTCCACCATTGGTTATTTGTTTTTATTCATACATTTGAAATCTTTGAAATAAGATAAGTTAAACTTAGTAATATATTTTTATTATTAGCAATGTATACACTTCACGATTTCATTTCATTCAAGCGCTGTTTATTGAATTTTCAAACATGAATTGAGTTTTGTGAATTGACCTAACATCCTAAGCTTTATTATTTATTTATTTCCAATGAGACTATCATTTTTTCAAATTAATGTTACCTTTTTATTTCATTAATATTATTTCATTAATTTTGTGGAAAGAGAGAGAATTTTTTTTTTATATTGTTCCCTTTTTATTTCCACCTTATCTAAAATGGAGATTTGTATCAAATTTATCTTTGTATTGGCACCAAAATGTAGTAAAAGAATCACAATTGTTAAATTGAATTTCACTCTAAATTTAAAAATATTCAAATTTATTTTCAAAAATTGAAGAGTGGAAAATATTAATATATTGTCATTATATATATATACAAAGATGAGTTTAGGTGATACTTAAGACCTTTAAAAGGTTCCAGGCGCAAGATTTATCGGGCGCATTAGAAATGGCATTAGTAATTGTTTCTCCCAATTGTCGCAAATCATTGCCAGAATGATCATATGGTGCTTTTCCTTCAACAAATATATCTAACATTCCTTCTAGCTCTTCCGAAGTGGCAAATGTTGAAATACTTTGCTAACAAATTTTAAAAATATGAGCGACTCTTTGTCCATCATATCTCTCATCACTCTCATCATGTCAAAACTATTTATAATACAAAAAATATATTTACAATATAAATTTCGTTTTACTTATTTTAATTCCGTTTTATTTATTTGTTTATATTCATGATACAAATATTTTTATAATTTAATTTCTGGCAATGAATTTCATTTTTGGCAATGATTTCAAAATTTCTGGCAGTGAATTTCAGATTTAACAGTTTTCATTATGTGTCCCAACCTATTTTCATAGCTACAAACCGTTTAACTTTACCGAAATCATTTATTGTCTTAATCATACTGTGTGTGTAAAGAAAATTAAATTCAAAGAGCGAATTTTCTTTAAAAAAAAGCATTTTTTCAATTAGTATATATACAAAAAATTAGAGAACCACATAAAAATCTACACACTATTTAGACTATTTCAGTAGCATGATCAAGTAAGTGAAATCTAAGACTATAAAGTTGTTTCATTCTTGCATTATATCACGGCTTTATTGAAGTTGAATTCAGTTCCAATCAGAGCTAGAAAGATAACAAGATGACTGACTGAATAACAAAGATGGTAATAGGTTCAACCAAATGAGAAGCCGCTTTGTAGTGCAACACATCCTAAACGTACTGACATAGAAAACAACCACAGCTTTTCGAAATGAGAATTACAGCTAATTTTTAAAACATGAATTTTAATTACGACCAACTGTCGTAATAAAACTATTTATGCAAAAATTGCAATTCTTACATGACTTCAAATCTTTTGCTTCAAATAAAAGTGGCTTTCAATTTTCAATTCAGTATATTCTATCCGTTTAAAAATGAAGACAAAATACTGCAGAATTGCATGGCAAAAAAATCTATAAACTGCGTATAAATAAATTAATTTCCTTATATGAATGGATGAAGAATATATTGCAGATGGATTAAACATAGCGCACCAGTGAAGAAATTGCAAGACCAACAAATGAAAAGATATACTTGGGTATCATAAATCATCAACTTAAAAACTTTGAAGTTGACAAGATAAAGATAATTAGCAATAAATATAACTATCATTAAGGCTATTAATATTGATTGTAAAAAATGAAATAGTGGCTAAATAAAACGAAATCATGCCTGGATTCTGCATATAAATTAAACACGACTATTAAAACAAAATACTTGAGTTTATTTTTTTTAAAAAAATAATAATACTTGAGTTTATTAAATTCTACTTTTCAAGTTCAAAAAAAAAAAAAATCGATGTAACAAAAATTCATCTAACTGCACTGTAAAAACTGTTTTGTCATTATTGGAAATCAAAATTAAGGATCTTGCAGATCATAATAATCTTTCATCATTTCTTTGGAAAAAGTTGCGCTTAATAATAATCCAAATAAGATAAAGAATTAATCAACAAAAATTTTAAGCAACCAACCGACCATTTCTTGATCTGATAAAATTGGAGAGATAAAAAAATTGAGTTATTATAAAATACTATTAATAAATTACCAAGATCATTGTACCTCAAAAAACAAATTAAATAATAACATCTATACTTTAGTTTCTGACTTCTGATTATCCAACAGTGGCGTTTCCTCGTTATTCGATTGTACATTGGCATTTGCTGATTCTGGTTTAGTGACCCGTATAATTATTGCATCATCATCCTCTTCATTATCATCTGGAATCTTCACATCAGGCGTTGATCT